CGTCCCCGCCCCCGGGGACTCAGGTGCTGCTTGGAGATCCCCGGTCCGGCTGCTGCCCCCTCCAGGGGGTGGGAGCGACAGTGGCCTTTTTTTCAGAGTGACTTAGCACTGTCCCCCCAAAACTTTCTTCAGTAATCGCCCGATCTCCCTCCTTAAGACATCTCCACCCCAGCTGGGTTTAAAGGTCTAAACAAGTATGTCCTGTGAGGAAGTTGGGAGCGGGGCACGCACAGGGGTCCCGGGTCGCCCCCTTCCCCACTGCACGCAGGCCCAGCGCCCGGGCGCCGGTCTGGGGCATCTGCTTTTCTGTGTCTGGGGTCAAAGATGAAAGGGTTACAACCTCCCGGGATCGGGAGACCTGCTGGAGGTGTTGGGTCCTGATTTGTTGGACGCCTGGGCTGCGGGGAGTCGGGTTATCGGCTCATGGCCGGGAGCTATCTGTGTTTCTCCCCCGCCATATGTCAGAGCCAGGGTGCCTGTGGCTCTTATCTTGGGGCATCCCTTCCAAGCTACTGAAGGGAGTAAGATGAGTGAGGGTAGGGTCAGGACGGGTGGGTCGCCCGGGCGAGGGGTGGAGCAAAATCTGGAACCACTCCCCACCGTCGCCTACCTGGGGAATTGGAGGGGGGGCGCTGGTGAATAGGCCTCTGGGGAGGGAACCGTCAGCTCAGGCCGAGCCTGGAAACAGTCAACATGTTCAGTGGGGTGGGGGTTCCAGAGCAGACTCAGGGGTCCCCAAGACCCTGCATGAGGCAGAAGTAGGGAGGGGAAGAGCTGCTCACCCTCCCTCCCCCCACCCCCCACCCCCATGCCCTGGCCCTGGCTCCCTCCTCTAACTCATTGCCTGGTGGCCTGCCTGCTGTCAGCCTTCCCTTGCTGGACGCTGGGTGACAGGCAAATGAGGCTGTGCCTTCTCCCAGATGCATTTCCCAGTCTGTGCAGACAGCCCTGCAGGTCTGAGGGTGGGGGTTCAACGGAGGCACAGGCCGCAGAGGGTGCTGGCTCAGTTGGTAGCCCTCCATCTCCTTGACATCATTTCCCCTCTCCTGGCCAGTCATTAGGCTGTCTAGATCCTCCGCTTGGCCCCAAAGGGTCGCCTCCTAACAGTTCCTGAAAATGTTAGCTTCTCTCTCCTCCCTAGAGAAGGCTGGGGGGAGTTTGGAGGAGCTATAGGGTGGCGAGGGATCCATCCTTGTGAAGACACCTTGCTTAATTAGAGGAGGGCAGGGACACTGAGGGACGCTTCACACCAGGCGGGTGCCTGACTTCTCCATCTCTCCACCTGCCCCGCTCCCCGCTCCCCAAGCACAGGACTTCACAAAGCTGAGCTGAGCAGATGGGGGAGGGGGGAGAATGAGGAGACACAGTCTCTGGGGGCCATCTGGGGAGCCTGTGTTGGTGGTGGGTCCTTGGACCCCTGCCAACCTGGTTGGAGGGACATGGGTCTGTCTTTCCCCCAAGTGTGTGTCTATGGACCTCTTGGGGTGAGGTCCTGACCCCAATCTTCTGTTTAGCACGCTGATGGGGAGGAGCCCTGTGAATAATTCAGACCAGGGGAAAATCCACAAGTCAAATGGTGAGGTTCTGATGTGTATGTAAGACTTGTTTGCCCTGCTTGGATTTGTGGCTGTAACTGATTGGCAGAGTCTGACACTAAATGCCACTGGGAGTCCCTGAGTACCGGGATGTGGAGGGGGGACACCCACAGGTGGGCCAGAGAGGGTGTGCTGGTGGAGAAAGTGGAGGTGACTAGCAGAAATTTAGGGTAGCAGCACCCACCAGGGCTTACCCCTTACTGGGTGCCCAGGAACCCCAGTGTGTTTATACCTTCTTCCTGAGGTGGCTCAGCCTGTCTTTTATCCTGTGTGGGCAGGTTAAACCCAATCTAAGGACACTTGGCTAAGACCCTGGTTCCTCTCATTCCCCACCAGCAGGGGCATGAGGCTTGCCCCAGGGTAACAGCCTTGACCTCTGCCTGAGGCTGCCCAGGGCTAAAGAGCTGGTTCAGCCCTCAGGTCTGGCAGTGGGTATCTCAGAGTGGGTCACTATCTGAACCCCCACCCTAACCACCATGGCCAGAGCTGAGTCCTGTCCTTGGTCAGTGTCTAAGAGGAGAAGAACCTTAGATTGCTGAGGGGTGGGCCCACTGCCATCAGTGGTCCCCACTCTCCATGGGAGAAGCACAGTCCTGCCCTCAGGGATTTGGTCCAGCAGCCCCAGGGAACCTCTTCCTTCCCATTTTGTCCCTAGTGGGGCGTAGGATCCTGAGACCCTAAACTCTCCTTCCTCTCCTGGCTGTGGGACCTCTCTTGTGGGTGAGGGATGTCCCCACTTACAGCCAGACAGGAGGTGCAGGGAGCCCTTCTCCCATGCAAGGGTGGGTGGTGGGGGGCTACCTTTCCAAGAAAGCTGTGAAAGAAAGGGGTGCCCCCTGCTTAAAATGGGGGTGGAGAGAAAGAGCAGGTTGAGCCAGGGTTTCCGGCTGCTGCCTTAGCAACAGCAGAGGAGCGGTGGCTGCCCAGCCCCACCGGCCTGCTGCGATGGTGGGAACACCAGCCGGCGGGGCGCCAAGCTCTCGCCTCTCCCACGCCCATGCCCAAGGCTGGGTGTCTTCCAGCCCTTTCATGCCTTCCCCTGGGAGGCATGCAGGGTCAGGGACGGGGATGACAAGGCGACCTTTCCAGGCGTGCCAGAAGAGCCACGCTTACACCTGGGCCTGGGACATCCCTGATCTGCCGGGCAGGGAGAATCCCATAACCTTGGGGCAGAGGGATCAAGGGAAGGTGTCAGGGGTGTTGTGCATGAGGCCAAGAGCCATGCTGGCACAGTAGCAGTGGAGAGGCATTTGCCTGATGGGTGTTTAGCTTGTGCCCAGGGGCCGGGGTGCCTGGCCAGGCTGTGTGGGCAGGTCAGGATGGCCCCATGTTGGGTTTGGGCCTGGAGTCCTGCTTGCAGCTGGGGCTCTTCCCTTCTCGGGCTGGCAGTAAAGGGCAGGAGGGACTGCAACTGAGGCACTGGCCCCCTGGCCACTCCCACCTCCGGGACGGGGCAGATGAAGTGTGGGGACACAGAGCCATGGGGTTGCTCAGGCCTTATGCCTCCCATTTGCAAGGCAGAGGATGTCAGGGGGGCTGCGGCCATGTGGTCTGATGTTGGGCTAGGCAGAGGAGAGGGGTGACAATCCCAGCAGGCAGGGCTGGCGCACATTAACCCTGGAAAGCCACGGATGTGGTGGGCATGACTCACAGTGACATCTGGGGCTGACAGGCAGAGAGCTGGGTGAGATGGGCAGGAGCAGGTGCTCTCGGGGCCATCTCTGCCTTCTTCCTGGGAACACGGAGCCCTGGAAGGTGGCTTGGGTGGCCTTTGAGTGGGCGAGGGTTACTTATGGGAAAGGCAGGGGCGTTTCCTGAGCTTTGGGGTCATGATGTTTGGGGGCTGAGATTCATTTTTTTCATTACCTGCATGACTATGGACAAGTTACTTAACCTCTCGGAGCTGTAGTTTTCCTCATCTGTAAAAAGAGAATAACAATGGCATCTGCTGGCCTCCTAGGATTGTCGAGAGGGTGAAATAGAGGACTTCGCACAGTGTCTGGCACAGAGCAGATGCTCAGTAGCCACCCTCCACTGTGAGGAAGGGGATAAAGCTGGAGCTGATCTGGTCTTCTTCATCTCAGGGCCCATTCAGCGGAGGGAGCCCAGACCCTGCCTCTCCCCTCCCTCCACCTCCACTACCAAGAGCACCCAAGGTTGCTGTGCACTCCCCAGGAGCCCCAGATCCTTAGCTAGTGAGGGCCAGGCAACCTCCCCACCGTTATGCAGGTCACCAGCAGTGGGGCCCAGACTGAAAACTGCCTGGTGGCCGGAAACCGCCAGAGGGAGGGCCCACCTCTCCTGGAGGGTGGGGCAGCGGTGGTGCTAACGGTAGCAGTGTGTACATGGGAGGGGGAGGGGAGGCCTCCACTTCCCCCTGAGAGAGGGTGTGCTGGGGGGGGGTTCCCCAGTGAGTAAGAGCTCGGTGTGGGCAACAACAGGAAGCGTGGGGCGCTGGGTGGCAGGAAGTGGGGCTGGCTGTTCCTGGTTCCTCAGATGGGGGACGTGGGCCAGGCTGTCTGCAGAAGACCCCTGGGGGCCAGGACCCACATTTCCCATTCCCCGGGTGCTCCTTCTTTGGAGGAAGCTGGGTCTTCCTTGCTAGCTTGCCACCAAGGCCACCCTGGGCAAGCACCTTAACCTCCTCGAGCCTCAGCTTCCCATTTGTGAGATAGGGATTATAACAGTATCTGTTTTGTAGGCTTGTTGAGGTTTAAATGAGTTTTGATATAAAGCGCTTAGAACGGCACTTAGCACGGAATGTTTGGGGATTGAGAGATTAATTCTGAGTTGAAGAAAAGTGTCTGGGGAACATTTGTTACTGTTACTATTGTCGGTGTTGTTTTTCTCCTACCAGCCCGGATGACATAGGTAGTGGCTTCCACCCTGCTTGTCCTTTTCCCAGCTGTGGGGACCCTTGAACTCTGATGGGAGAAACTGTTAGCTCTTTGGGTCCTCAGCACCTGATCCTAGGGCTGGGTCTCCTCATAGCTCTCCTGTAAGCCTGGAATTGCTTATAAGAGCTCCAGAAAATCTATATGCCAAAGTTCAAACAAGTGGGTAAAATCAATTGTGTCTGGAGATGCGCTGAGAGCACTACAACTAAGGCTGAGACTGTATAGAGGTGGGCAGGTGGCAGGGAGATGGACGGGGGAGTGGGGGCTGGGGGACAGGCTCAGCTTCTGGGCCCATCGGGCTGAGGAACGCCTGTGGGACTGGCCTGAGATGGGATTGATGTCCAAGTTCAGGGGTACCCTAGGGCTTGAAGGGCTAGGCCATAGGGAGAGATGGGCAGGTGGATTGGGACATAGGCTCCACTCAAACTGAAAGTGAAACCCTAGGGTGTGGCTGCATCCAGATGTGGACGCAGCCCCTTCAGCCTCCTGGGACACTGTCTCAGAAGTCAGCACTGGTGTGGGGGAGGTGGGGGAAGGGCTCTTAGCAGGGTCTTTTGGGGGCTGGCCTTAGGTGAGCAGATGCTGGGGGTCCCCTCTCACACCCAGGGCAGGGAGGGAGGAGAATGGTCCCCACACATTCTAATAGAAAGATATGGGGAATCAGTTCCTTTTCTCGGCCAACCCTAAAAGATGAATCCTGTCTCTTTCCTCATCTGACCCAAAGCACTAAAGGCAGCAGGGAAAGTAGGCTGAAGGCTAGTTAAGGTTTGGCCAAAGCCTTGGAGACAAGCCCATGTTTCTGGATGTTTTCACAAACTTCTGCTCACTCTACCATCCCCCACCCTGGAGTCTTCCATGGACCCCTGCCCCTCCACCACTCCTGCCTCTGTGAAGTGCTTCTTCATATTGTTAGACCACTGAAGAGCTTTGTTAAATCCAAACTCAGCTTCTCACTGAGTGTTCCAGGAGCTCCGTGAGTGTGAGGCTCCGGGGAGGGAGTGCGCCCATTTGATGGAGGAGGAAGCTGAGGTCCAAAGGGGCAAAGAAGCTGTAGGGCTAGCTGGGCCCAGAGCCTGGGTCTTTGGAAGCCAGCTCCGGGTCCTCCATGTGGCAGCTCATCGCTGTCCCTCCCCACCCCCCTCAGGAGGCAGGTATCCTGCCCACCTGGACTGCCAGCCCCTCCCCTCCTACTTGAGCACTGTTAGCCAACTCTCCGTGTGTCCCCCAGCCCCCATCCCAGCTGCTTGCTGAAGGCCCTGGTCTGGGGGTCTGTCCCTGTTTTCAGGATGGCCTCACCCCACCCCGAGTGAGTGGCATCTGATGGCCCCTCTCCTACTCCCTGGAGTGCCCAGCTCCTCGGTGGGCACAGCCACAGCTGAGGAGCAGCTGCTAATTAGTGTTCGGCGCTGTCAGAGCTATTTTTGATTTCTGAGGCTAAATTTAGCCCGTCTGGCAGGCTGGCATGTGGGCCTGGGGGCCTGAGAAGGCCCAGGTGGGGAAGGGGCATGGGCGCTCTGCCCTCCACCACTGTTCAGACAGGTGCTCCAGGCCCCAGCAGAGGCTTCCCCTCCACAGTAACAACCAGGGGGCTCTCCTGGGGGAGTGGACCCGGGTGGTGGCTCAGAGTCAGCTCCAGGCTCAAAGCCAGCCCAGCTCTACTCTTACTGGCTTCATAACCTTGGGCAGGTCACTAAACTAATCTGTGCCTGCACCTGTGAGATGGGAATGTTAACGGTGCCAGTGATGGCAGTGAGGGTGGAAGGCGGTCGTCGGCACGCAGGGCTCGGAGCAGTGCCTTGCACAGTAGGCATTCTGGCGGAGCTGGCTACCTGACTGTTGGGGATGTCATTATGACTAGTTACTGCCTCTAGAAGTGCTGCTGGGGCCATTCCAGAACCAAAAAAGTCCCTGGGTGGGTGAGGGCCTGGGAGGATTCATGTGGGGAAGTGGCTGTCCCCTCTGTGACTCCGTGCTGGGCTCCGTCCCCTCACTCCCTGGCCGCCATCTCCGTCTTGTGTGCCCGCCATGGCTCCAGTTTCCCTGGCACTGCTGGCCCTGTCTCCCCTCTTTGTCCCTTTCTTCCACCTTGCTCCCACCTTGGCCCTGCCCCACCATTTGTCCCTGTGGGGTGGGGGTGACAGAGAGAGATCATCAGCAAGACGGATCAGAGAGAGAGACAGACAGATGGACAGAGACAGAGAGACAGAGAATGACCCCGCCTCCTTGGTACTCCTGGGCGATCTCCCCCTGCCCGCCCCCGCCCCCCCGCCCTGCCCCTGTGGTAGCTGGAGCTGTCCTGGCCCTTGGAGGGCGGGGGGGAGGGCGGCCGATGAGACAGCGGTGGTTTCCTCAATCCAGGCTCACTTTCGCAATGGGGGAGAGGATGACGTACTCCCACCCCTCCAGCCGCTGGGGGCGGGGGGCCTGTTGGAGGGGCAGTTTCACCTCTCCAGTGGGGCCTGGCCGGAAAGCTTAAGCAATGGAGGCTGAGCGCACCCAGCTTCCTGTTGTCTGGGCCTGACCCGAGACAGTGATTTTGGGGGTAAGGTCTGGCTGGATCCCCAGAACGAGGCCTGGCACCCTGGAGAGGAAGCTGGCTGGGGAGCCTCAGGTGGGTGTGGCTCCCTGAGTGCTCCAGCTGTGGCCTCTCCTCAGAGCCACATGACTGAGGGTGTGGAGCGTGAACCACCATGGCTGGCAACAGGAGCCCTCGGGGGCTCCCACATCCCCGATGGAGACCCTTATTCAACTCAGAGCTCCTTGAGGGCAGGAATTGTCTGTTTGGGCTAGACATACAGAAGGCTCTCAATAACCTGGGGTTTACTAAATTGAAGGGAACTGGCCTCATCTTTTGGGTCTGTCAGGCAGACAAGCCAAGTCCGGGGGTCCAGAAGGCCCCTGGTGCTATTGACACCTGGTTGATTCTGCAGCCCGGGGCTGACTGTAACCTGCTCTGTGGTGGCAGAGGCACCACACCCTTGTCGTCTGTGGCCAGGGGAGGAGGAGGACCCACGCGGAGCTCTGTTGACCTTTCTCAGCTCCTGGGGGAGTCCCAGCTGGGCGGCCCACACCACAGACCCAGGGCATTGACTCTTCTCCCCAGTGCTGTGGTGGAGTGACCTTCCCCCCAAATCTCCCCACCCCTGAAGCTGTGATCTGGAACTCCCTGCCTGCTGACATGGCTGCCGTCAGCTCCCCCAGGCCTCTCCCTCCTTTCTCAGCTTTCTCCCCGAGATGGGAGGGGCTGGAGAGGGATGAGGAGAAGGCTGCTGTCCACCCTCCTTGCAGGAGGGTTTCTGGCATTCGTGAGGCACTGGTGCCCTAGGCCTGGTTTGTACACACGTGGGATCTGGTGGCACGTGGAGGTGGGACACTGGCAATAGGCCACACTTCGGCCTGACTGGTGATGGCTCCCCTGTTAGTTTCCCACCAGAATAGGGGAAGCGCTGATGTCCCAACAGGGAAACTGGAGCCCAGAAGTGTCTCAGGTCCCCAGAGAGGTAGGCTGACAACCCACGCACCTGTCTCCACACCAGGCAGGCCAGGGAGGCGGTGTAGGGGGTGACACAGCGCAGGCAGACTCAAATTCAAATCCTGCTGTCCCTTCTAGCTGGCGTGCCCCGGGAAAGGTGCTCTGTCTCTCTTGGCTTTGGCTTTCTCTTTGGATAACACTACTTATCTCCTAGGGTCAGAGGATTCGGGGGGTGATGTACCTCCTGGGGAGCCAAGTGGGTTCCCCCAAATGCCCATTCTCCTCTCCCGACTTGTTGGGGCCCCAGGCTCAGGGGTCTTACTTTGTCCTCCCTCTCCCCAGAACTGCATGAACTTGCCCCCGGACAAAGTCCAGCTGCTGAGCCAGTATGACAACGAGAAGAAGTGGGAGCTCATCTGTGATCAGGTAGGTGCCAGCACTGCCCAGCCACCCCTTCCCGCCCACTGTCAGCACCCAGCCCTGACCAGGCTGGGGCTATGGGGAGAGGGGCACCGCCATACTGCCCATAGGACCAAGACTCTGCTCAGTGGCCAATGTAGCACCTGGGGAGGGTACTGGGGTCTGCAGGACTCCCGAATCCCCTTCTCTTGAACTCCCCAAAAGAACTTGTGAGTCATGAGCAGGGCCGGGTCAGCTTCAGGGGAGCTGGCAGAGCTGGTTCAGGGGCACTGGCCGGGGCAGCTGGGGCCTTGGCACTGTCACTGTCCTCCTTCTGAGCTTCCTGATAAACCTCTCTGGACTGGGAAAGGGAGAGGGCAACCCTGGGGTTGGACATCTTCACCTGACCCCATGGGAGGGAGGGGGGAAGGGGCGGGAATTCCTGCCCTTTTACCTTGGGTCCAGAGGAGCTGCAGTCCACCAGCAACTCCCCAAGGCCAGCCACTTTGGACCCCTGCTTTGGTGCTCCGTCCAGGCGCCTGGGCTCACGGGTCACTCAGCTGCCCCTGCCTCTCCAGCTTCAAGGGCTGTGGTCACCCATGGGCAGACCCTCTCCCAGAGCCAGGCTGGGTGGGGCTCGGCTACTGCAGGGATCCTGTGAAGGAGGGAGCTGCAGAGGCTGGGGGTGGGGAGGGAGCTGAGAGCCTCCCCTGGGAGCCAAGGCTGGGCCTTCGCCTCCTGCTAATGAAGCAGATGGCCTGGGCTGGCTGGGCAGCAGTCCAGGGGTAAGGGCTGGGCAGTGGGAAGAGGGTGGGGAGCTGCCCCTGGAGGCTCTGGGGCTGTGATAGGGGTCCCCTCGGAGCAGCTCGGCCTGGCATCTCAGAGGTTGGGGGCTCAAAGGGCTGGAAGAAGTGAAAGTCTGAGGGGTGGCTTGGTGAATCTGAGGGGTTTGGGTTGGAAGGGTGGGGGCCCCTCTGGGGAGGGGGTCTTTGCCGTGGTCCCTGCCTCTTTGTGTCAGTGGCCGCTGGAGCCTGCAGTGGGGTGGGGGAGTTAGGAATTGCATCGCTGAGCACAGGAGAGGAGCACACAGGGTCCTGCCAACGCAGGACTAACCCTGCATAGTCCACCCTATAGCTGTGTCAGGGCTGTGGCCTGGGAGGCCATCCGGGAAGGGCAGACTAGGCCTAGGCTGGGGGTCTTTAAAGTGGCCCGATGCTAGCTGGGCGTGGTGGTGCACACCTGTAGTCTCAGCTACCCGGGAGGCTGAGGTAGGAGGATCGTTTGAGCTGGGGAGTAGGAGGCTGCAGTGAACTATGATGGTGCCACAGCACTCCAGCCTGGACCACAGGGCAAGAAAAGAGAAAGATAACATAAAAGCAAAGAAAGTGGCTTGGTGGACTGTTTGGGTTTATACCTTTGGTATTTCAGAGGCGTCTTAAGCAAGCCTGGGACCTCAGATCAGAGCTGAGAATGGAACATTGGGACGAGAACTGGTCATTTGCCCTGGGGTAGCTCTGGTTGGTTTTCTGTACACCCCATTCCATCTCCCCAGGAGCGGTTTCAAGTCAAGAACCCCCCTGCAGCCTACATCCAGAAGCTGAAGAGTTATGTGGATACTGGTGGGGTCAGCCGAAAGGTAGCAGCTGATTGGATGTCCAACCTGGGGGTACATGTCTCCCCTCTTTTCTCTGTCCCTTTCCCCCACCTTTTCCAAGCTCTGGACAGCTGGAGTAACTGTGTGAACAGACTTTTCTATGTGCATGTGTGAGTGCATGTATGAGCATGTGTGTGTGTGTTCGTGTGTGTCTGTGTATTTATAGGAGGCTAAGAGTGCCCTGGGCGTGCCCTTTAGACATTCCCCTGTGCATCCTGTGTGTGCTTACATGGACACATTTTGTGTACTTATACTGTGTGTATACATATGTGCAGCCCATATGTCCATACGTAGGTGTGTGTGTATACTATGTGTGTATTTTGTCCACTTATGGATGTGTGTGTGTGTGTGCACCCTTGAGTCCGTATACAGGAGAGAGAGAGAATGTGTGTGTGTCCATGTAGGGATGTGTGGACGTCCTATGTTTGTATTTAGAGTGCATGTATATGGATGTTCATGTAGTGTGTGTGTGTGCACGCACACCCTGCCTCTTTGAGTGTGTGCATGTATCAGGGGTGTGTGTACCCTGTGTGTCTGTGTATGGGGGAGCACACGCAGCCTGTGAGTTCTTATTCTGCTAGGCAGGTGTGTGGAGGTGGTGGGGGAGGCTGAGCATGAAAGGCCACTTGTGCCAGTCGGAGGAGGGTGGGCGCTGCTGCCTGCTGCCTCAGGACTTGGTGGGCCTGTGGGAGGCTGGGCTCCACCTACCAGCCTTCCCTCTTCTCGGTCCCCAGTTTAAGAGGCGAGTTCAGGAGTCCACCCAGGTGCTTCGGGAGCTGGAGACCTCCCTGAGGACAAACCACATTGGGTGAGTGAGGGCTCAGATCTTCCTCTCTGGGACTAGGAAGGCTCTGCTTCCAGGCAGCCCCTGGAGCTTCCCCTTCCTACTCCCCCTGCCCCCCACACAGGGCTGTGTTTGTGGACCACCTCCTGGGGGTGTCCAGGACAGCTTCCCCTCCCTCTCCTGCCCATGCTCTGACTGGTACCTTGAGGCATGGCTGGGCTGTGGGACCCACCTAAGTCTCCCAGAATCCCCTGGTATCATTGGGTCTTTGGGGGTTGAAAGGGCACGCCAGGGGCCCTTGCTGTCCCTGTTCTGTGCCCATCGGGGGCAGGACCTCCTTCCTCGCTGGAGCTCAGGGAGCCCTGTGCCCACAGGTGGGTGCAGGAGTTCCTCAACGAAGAGAACCGCGGCCTGGATGTGCTCCTCGAGTACCTGGCCTTTGCCCAGTGCTCTGTCACGTAAGCCTCCTGCCCCTAGGCCTCATGCCACTCCTCAGAGCTTTGACCCCCGTCTCCCTGCGTCTCACCCACTCCCCTGGCCAGTTCCAAGCCGGGCAGCCCGAGTCTACCCTGGAACCCTGCATTTGGCCTTGAGCGATGCCCCTTCCAGAAGCCTTTCCCTGACAGGGAGGGGTGGCCTCTCTTCCACCACAATGTTCAGCACAGTGCCAAGAACACAGCCTCCTCCTCCTGCTCCTTAGTCTCACCTGCAGGTCTGTCTCTCCTTGCGTTTCTTCTGCCCCCTCTTAAGTGGTCCTTGCAGTGTTGGCCTCCAGCCCCATTGCATCCTGTCCCCAGGTATGACATGGAGAGCACAGACAATGGGGCTTCCAACTCAGAGAAAAACAAGCCCCTGGAGCAGTCGGTGGAAGACCTCAGCAAGGGTCCGCCCTCCTCTGTGCCCAAAAGCCGCCACCTGACCATCAAGTATGTGGGCCACAAGGTGGGGTCGTGGGAGAACAGAGAATTCAGCCCCCACACTGCTGCATCTAGCCAGCCCACCCAGGGCCCTTGGGGTTGGTGAGAGGGGTAGCCAAGCATTAGGGGTCAGAGTAAGGGACTCATACAGAGTTTGGGGCACCAGTATGTTAAGAAGCCATCAGGGGTGGGGCTGGGTGCCGTGGCTCATGCCTATAATCCCAGCACTTTGGGAGGCTGAGGTAGGCAGATCATTTGAGGACAGGAGTTTGAGACCAGCCTAGCCAACATGATGAAACCCCATCTCTACTAAAATACAAAAATTAGCCGGGTGTGGTGGCGCACGCCTGTAATCCCAGCTACTCAGGAGGCTGAGGTGGGAGAATCGCTGAAGCCCAGGGGATGAATGACGCAGTGAGCCGAGATCGCGTCACTGCACTCCAGCCTGGGTGACGGAGTGAGACCCTGTCTAAAAAAAAAAAAAAAAAAAAAAAGGAAAGAAAAAGAAAAAAGAAGCCATCAGGGGTGGGCACCTAGAAGTTGGAGTCTGGATGGGTCTGGGATAAGAAGGGAGCTTCTGGGTTGGTGGGACCCCTCTTGTATGCATCTAATCCCCTGTTTTCTCCCATGCGGCCTCCAGGTGTCCCCCTTCTCCCCGGTACGTAGCCACCTAGGGGCAGGTGCATGCCTGGCTGACTCCTTCCCAGGGTGGTGGCGGGGTAGGATGAGGTATTCAGCTGATGTCCCTGGGTTCAGTACTGTGGCTGGGTTCCTCCATCCTAACATGGGCATCTTGCTGGGAGGCAGGAAGCAGACAGTAGATTGACCCTAGAGCATCTTGTGGATCCCCAGCTTCCTACTTTGGGTCTAGGGGGTTGATTGCATATTAAGCCTCAAACTTTCACAATATGTTATTTGTCCATTCATGCAATTATGCATTCAACAAACATTTATTTTTTAGCACTTAGTATGTATGAGATGTGTGGCAGGTGCCCAGGAGACAGGTTACTCTGCCCTCAGGGACCCACAGTCTAAGTGGGGGACAATTTAGTGTGACAGGCTGTCATGGAATTGTGCCTGGGAGCTCTGAGAAGGGAGGTGGCCACCACTTGGGGCATCAGGAAGGCTTCCCAGAAAAGGTGACACTGGCACTATGTCTCACAGACAGATACAGGCTTTATAGGCAGCCATGGGAACAGGGAAGGGCATTCCAGGCAGAAGGAACAGCATGAACAAAAACTCTGACATATTAGCACAATGACGGGAAAGGGTGATGTGGCAGGAGCAGGTGAAGGCAGGGCCTCCCGCTGTTACTGGGAATGTGATAGAATCGTCAGGGAGACTGACATGTGGAAGTCCGGGTCGGCAGTTCTGCAACAATGAAAACATCACACATTTGTTGGCGAAGAATAAGGGAGTACAGTCATATAGCACTTACTATGTGCCAGGCACTGTTCTAAGCCCATTTCATAGTCCCAACAACTCTGACAGGAAGCTACTATTATTAGCATTCCTATTCTAGAAGCGAGGAAAGTGAGGGACAGGGAGATTAAGTGACTCGTCTAGTAAATGGTGAGCTGGGATGCTCCTGAACCCTGACGGCGTGAATTCAGATCCGCCTCTCACATTGGAAGATGAGCCCAAGTGGCCATGAGCGCCACCTTGTGGTGATCCTTCCCATGTTTCTTCCTTCTGTAGGCTCTCGCCCTACCAAGCCCCTGGGAAGTGTCTTTGCTTCCCGTGACCCCCATCCTCCAAGCATGCCAGACCCCAGGTCTAGCTTCCGTGACCCCCATCCTCCAAGCATGCCAGACTCCAGGTCTAGCTTCCGTGTCCCCCATCCTCCAAGCATGCCAGACCCCAGGTCTAGCTTCCGTGTCCCCCATCCTCCAAGCATGCCAGACTCCAGGTCTGGCTTCCGTGTCCCTGCTCCTCCAAGCATGCCAGACCCCAGGTCTAAGGACTGAGGAAGCCTGCCTCCCCTCAGCCAGCCTCTTTGGTTGGGTAGACGGGATGTGGTGCCGTCAGGTTCCATATGTACCTCCTCTTACCCCAGAGGCCATCTGAGTGGTGGGGGAACAGGAAGCTGGGGCTCACTCTGACCCCTGCTGCCTCCTCCACACCCCGCCCAGGCTGACCCCCGCCCACAGCAGGAAGGCCCTGCGGAATTCCCGCATCGTTAGCCAGAAGGACGATGTCCACGTCTGCATTATGTGCCTGCGTGCCATCATGAACTACCAGGTCAGCCGGGGGGTGTGGGACTGGGGGACTAGAGAGCCCAGCCTGTCCTCACTGGGGGCTACACAAGCTGCCGAGGCTCTGGGATCCACTGTCCCTTTACCCTGTGCTGTGCTGGGGAACTTGTGCATCTGGGCTGTTGGCTCGGACTTTTAAGGCTGATGCGTCTTGAGGGGAAGCCCATGTTTTTGCTGCCTCTGTCAGGTTCTCTGAGTACCCCTGCCCATGGCTGGGACATGAAGGAGCCTCACATAGGGACAGGGCACACCTACCAAGAAGGGCTGGACAGAGGGCCAGGGGAGAACAGTCTCAGGTCAATTCATTTGGAGGTCTGATGGGTGAAGCCGGGCCCTCCTTTACTTAGCCAGCCTTTAAGACAGCTTCACGGTGTCCAAGGTGTGTGATGCTGGCTTTTGGAAACACAAAGGTATTTTAAAAAGAGGCCAGGTGCAGTGGCTCATGTCTGTAATCCCAGCACTTTGGGAGGCCAAAGCGGGAGGATTGCTTGAACCCAGGAATTCGAGATCAGCCTGGGCAACATACCGAAACCCCATCTCTATGAAAATAAAACAATAAAAAATAAATAAAGAGAGGCCAGGTGTGGTGGCTCATGTCTGTAATCCCAGCACTTCGGGAGGCCGAGGCGGGCAGATCACCTGAGGTCAGGAGTTTGAGAACAGCCTGGCCAATATGGCGAAACCCCGTCTCTACTGAAAAAAATACAAAAAAAATTAGCTGGGGGTGTGGCAGGTGCCTGTAATCCCACCTACATGGGAAGCTGAGGCAGGAGAATCACTTGAACCTGGGAGGCAGAGGTTGTGGTGAGCTGAGATGGCACCACTGCACTCCAGCCTGGGTGACAGAGGGAAACTCCATCTTGGGAAAAAAAAAAAAAAAAAGAGAGAGAGAGAAACAAGGCCAGGTTTTGGTGGCCACAGAAGAAGTTGCAGTTGGATATGAAGAACTTCCTAAACTCGAGGGCAGTTAAAGATCAGTGTGGCGTGGCACTGACTCTGCTGGGGTGCCTGAAGTCCTGGGGTCCCTTCCTGGAGACACTGACTTCTCCTCTCTCCCCAGTCTGGCTTCAGCCTTGTCATGAACCACCCAGCCTGTGTCAATGAGATTGCTCTGAGCCTCAACAACAAGAACCCCAGGTGAGGTCCAGGCCCCAAACCTTTCCCATATCTAGAATCTTCTCCCACTTAGCCCTTGCTTACTCTGTCCTCCAGGTCTCAGAGGCTCATTCCGCACCCGCTATGCTCCTCCTAGCCAGGCCTGTGCCCACCCTTGCTGCGGGTCCTGCCTGTTCTTAAGGGACAACCTGCCCCTTCTCTCTCTAGAACCAAGGCTCTGGTGCTGGAGCTGCTGGCGGCCGTGTGCTTGGTGCGGGGAGGACATGACATCATCCTTGCAGCCTTTGACAACTTCAAGGAGGTACCGGAGTCCCTCACCCAAACATGCACTTCCCCCTGTGGTGTTGCTTGGAGTCCTGTTGTTGGCAGCTGTGGCCTTTGGTGGAGGCAGCTGGGGACACTGGGTGGGCATTTGGGGAACGCCCAAAAGTTGAAGTTGAGCCACATCACTGGCTTAACAATCTGGGATGGGGAAGTTCTGAATGGAAGGTGCAGGGTCAGGTAAAGGCACCACCTGGGTGGGGGCAGGGACGACTACAGGGACCTGCTGAACCTCTGACTCAGCCTTGCCAGATTCAAACTAGCCTTGGTTCATACCTTCAGGAGTTGTGGACTCTGGCTAACAGGCTTGCAAGAAGTAGATGTGTGGGGATGCATAAGATGCAGAAGATATCTTCATTCATTCATTCGTTTAATGAATATTTATTGAGTGCCTAGTATGTGTCAGGAACAGGGCACCTGGGGCACATCAGTGAACAAAGGAAACCAGACAGGAAAGGACAGAAACGATGTAAATTACATAGTATGTTAGGAAATGATAAATGCTGTGAGAAAAAAGCCAGCAATGTTGCAGAGGGAGGGGGACAACATACCGAAACCCCATCTCTATGAAAATAATAAAATAAAAAATAAATAAAGAGAGGCCAGGTGTGGTGGCTCATGTCTGCAATCCCAGCACCCTGGTTGCAGGGTGGTCAGGGAAGGCCTCACTGAGAAGTGAGATTTGAGCAAAGCTGTGAAGGAAGCAAGGTACTTGGTGTGGAAGTGAGGGCTCTCCAGGGAGTTGGAACAGTAAGTGCAAAGGCCCTGGGGTGGGAATGTGCCAGGATGCCAGTGTGGCTGGAGTGGAAAAAGTGAGGGGGAGTGGGAGATTGAGAGAGAGCGGAGGTTTTGAGCAGAAGAGTGACGTGGCTCAACTTCGAATTAACTGGAAAGGAGCCTGTTGAATTAACTGGAACAGGTGTGGCAGCCAGAAGGTAGCTTAGGACGTGTGTCACTGGGCCTCAGTGAGAGCCATTCCCTTTACCCAGGTGTGTGGGGAGCAGCACCGCTTTGAAAAGCTGATGGAATATTTCCGGAATGAGGACAGCAACATCGACTTCATGGTGAGCTGAGGAGCCCAGCAGCCTGAGGCCTGGGCCAGGCCCTCTTGGGTGCACGGAGCAGCTAGGGTCCTGGGTGCTGGGCAATGGGCTCTGCCCCAGCAAAGCATAAAGACTGAGCGGTCAGTAGGGGAAGGATGGATGTTGGCAGGGGGCTGGATTGAGGGAACATGGAGGTGAAATGTTGGGCAGGCCAAGGCTGGGAGTTAGTGGAGTGAGAACTGTGGAGAAGGAGGGAGGCTTGGGGTAAGTGGAGGTGGAAGGCACTGAGCAATGCCACCTAGAGGATCATAGATCTGCCCATGTCCCTGGCTCCCAGGTGGCCTGCATGCAGTTCATCAACATTGTGGTACACTCGGTGGAGAACATGAACTTCCGTGTCTTCCTGCAATATGAGTTCACCCACTTGGGCCTGGACCTGTACTTGGAGGTAAGCCCTGTACTGCCCCCCAGACTTAACTGCCTGCCCACTGCAGAATATGGCTGAGTGGTTAGCGGCATGGGTGCTGGAGTCAGGCAGACCTGGGTTTAAATCCTGGCCCTGCCATTTCCTGCCATGTGACCTTGGATAGGTCTCTTCCTCTCTCTGAGTATCAGTTTTGCCATCTGTCAAATAGGAGAATCATAGAAGATAATCTTGACTCTAAATGCATAGACCAGTGCCTGGCACATACCAGGCCCCCAGTCTGTGGAATTATTTTTGCAGGCACCAGAATAGGTCAAGGTGGCCCAGGGTCTGGGTCTGGGAGCACCAGCCTCAGACAGGTGCTCAGACTCCAGGACGTAATGGGGAATCCAGAGATACAGGGTGGAAGCAGGAGTTGGCTCATGCTGGATGGGCCCAGGACATGGAGAAGTTCCTTGCCCTGGGGAAGGTGGGCAGAGCAGCTTGGTGCTTCCTGGCCCAGCCTGAGCAGAGAAGCTGCAGCTCCTTCTCTGCTTCTTTTAGGAGGTTTCCTGGAGGAGCGGGGCTTTCGGGGTTGGATTTTTGAAAGCCAGGATTAAGAAAAAGTAGAGAGCAGACTGGCGGGGGGTCTATCCATACAATGGAATATTATTCAGCTACAAGAAGGAATGAAGTATTGACACATGCTACAACATGGGTGAGCCTTGCAAACATGCTAGGTGAAAGAAGCCAGACACAAAAGGTCACACACTGTATGATTGCTGCTTCTTTTTTTTTTTTTTTTTTTTGAGACAGAGTCTTGCTCTGTCACCCAGGTTAGAGTGCAGTGACACGATCTTGGCTCACTGCAATCTCCACCTCCCAGGTTCAAGTGATTTTTCCAGTCTCCCGAGTAGCTGGGATTACAGGCACCTGCCACCATACCTGGTTAATTTTTGTATTTTTGGTAGAGACAGGGGTTTCACCATGTTGGCCAGGTTTGTCTTGAACTCCTGACCTTAGGTGATCCGCCTGCCTCAGCCTCCCACAGTGCTGGGATTACAGGTGTGAGCCACCTCGCCCGGCTTTCTATGATTGCTTCATATGAAATGTCCAGAATGGGTAAATCCATAAAGATGGAAAGTAGATTAGTGGTTGCCAGGGACTGGGGGAGGAGAGAATGGCAAGTTACTGCTGACGCCTGTGGGGTTTCTTTTTGGGCTGATGACAATGTTCTGGAATTAGATAATGGTGATGGTTGCACAACCTTGTGGCTATACTAAGAATGACTGAATTGTATACTTTAAAATGGATTTTATGATATGTGAATTATATCTTAAAAAATAAAGAAAAAGTGGGCTAGGGCTCAGGCCCCTTCCTCTGGGTGGCAGTGGTGGTGGGGGGTTTGGAAAGACTCCCTCCACACGCACACCAGGCCTCACCCTGCTCCTTCCATCTGGGGGACAGAGGCTTCGGCTTACCGAGAGTGACAAGCTGCAGGTGCAGATCCAGGCGTACCTGGACAATGTTTTTGATGTGGGGGCACTACTGGAGGACACAGAGACCAAGAACGCTGTGCTGGAGCACATGGAGGAACTGCAGGAGCAGGTGGCGCTGGTGAGAGTGGGTCCTGACCCCAGCCTGGCACATCAGAGGCCCACAGGGCACACGCAGGCATGGGCACTGGGCAGCAGACAGTGTTCTAGTTGTGCATTGGACGTGCTGCCTGCCTGGCCCCAGAGCCTGGCCTGAATCCAAAGCCTGAATCTGTTGGGTGTCTTTCTCAATGAGTGTGGGTGAGTGCCCTCACTGACAGGCCCCTCCTCTACCCAGGCTCAGTCCCCAGATGAACTGAACTGGGTGCCTGGGGCCCCTCCCAGCTCAGTCTCCTCCTCTCCCTCCACCTCCCGCATCACTGGTACCTTGGTTTCCTCTCCTTATTTGCTTGGGTTCGAGTGCCAGGCTCGGCCCACCCTTGGCACCTGGCTGAGCGGATCTGGGAGCCTCCCCCAGTCTTCTAGGCAGGCATGCCTGATGCCGCCCCCTCACCGGCGGTGCCAGTGCCGGGCTGCGGGTCGGGGCTCACCATGTGCCGGTGCTACAGCTGACAGAGCGGCTTCGGGACGCGGAGAACGAATCCATGGCCAAGATTGCAGAACTGGAAAAACAGCTAAGCCAGGCGCGCAAGGAGTTGGAGACCCTGCGGGTGAGGCTGGGGCGGGTGGTGGGCCGGGCACCCAAGAACAGGCCAGCTTCGGCTTCTAGGCTTGACATCTCCCTCCACCCCTGGAAGAGGATGGGGATTTGGTGCCAAGGAGCCTGCTGGTGGGCACTGACCCCTCCCGTGGGGTTCGCAGGAGCGCTTCAGCGAATCGACCGCCATGGGCGCCTCCAGGCGTCCCCCCGAGCCTGAGAAAGCACCTCCCGCTGCCCCGATGCGGCCCTCGGCCCTGGAGCTGAAGGTGGAGGAGCTGGAGGAGAAGGGGTTAATCCGTATCCTGCGGGGGCCGGGGGATGCTGTCTCCATCGAGATCCTCCCCGTCGCTGTGGCAACTCCAAGCGGCGGTGATGCTCCGACTCCGGGGGTGCCGACCGGCTCCCCCAGCCCAGGTGCGCAGGAGTTTCAGGCTGGCGGGGATGCGGGGCATGGTCTGGGGGGGAGCCCAGGGGCATCTGTGGCGGGCAGAGTTGGGCGAGGGAGGTTTGGATTGTAGGCTCGGCTCAGGTAGGAGCGCATGCGTAGAGCGGGGAGGCGGAGAGGACCCCACCCAAGTCAAGGAGCTGACTCGCGCCTCCCCCCGCCCCGCCCTCGCTGGTTCAGATCTCGCACCTGCAGCGGAGCCGGCTCCCGGAGCAGCGCCGCCGCCGCCGCCCCCACTGCCCGGCCTCCCCTCCCCGCAGGAAGCCCCGCCCTCGGCGCCCCCACAGGCCCCGCCTCTCCCTGGCAGCCCAGAGCCCCCGCCGGCGCCGCCGCTGCCCGGAGACCTTCCGCCCCCACCCCCGCCACCGCCACCACCTCCGGGCACTGACGGGCCGGTGCCTCCGCCGCCGCCGCCTCCGGGAGGTCCTCCTGATGCCTTAGGAAGACGCGACTCAGAATTGGGCCCAGGTAAGTGGAGTGGACCACCTTGGGCCCGGGGCTTGGGGGAGATGGAGGGAGGGACCTGGGCCTCAGTGTCCTCCAAAGTCTTCTGCCTAGGGGCTCCTGCTGCCTCCTGGCTGGCCCATCAGCCCTCCCTGGGCCCAGGTTCCCTCCAGTACCCCTAGTGCTCACCACTCCTCCCAAACCCCCGCCCGTCCCAGGAGTGAAGGCCAAGAAGCCCATCCAGACCAAGTTCCGAATGCCCCTCTTGAACTGGGTGGCACTGAAACCCAGCCAGATCACCGGCACCGTCTTCACAGAGCTCAATGATGAGAAGGTGCTGCAGGTGAGTGGCCCTGCCTGGCTCCGCATATGGGCACTGGAGTAAGAGGGGAGTTGCCTGGATCAGGCTGGGCACTGGGGGTAGTCGTTTTCTCCAAGTCATTTCACAGATGAGCTGGGGGAGGCCCAGGGATGGGCATTAAGCCAGACTGGACCCATACCTCTAACAGGCAGAATCCTGCCTTCCCAAACGCCTTCCCCTCCATCCCTGCAGAGGGGTGCATCCCCCCCATCCCACTCCTTCTGCCTCCAGGCCTCTTTCCTCCCACTTTCCCACAGGCAGCCAAGGCTTCAGCCCTCCTGATTCCACTTCCAGTTTTCCAAAAGGATGTGTTCTCTTGCCTGTAGGCCATTGTTGCCATTGTTCCATTCTGTTCCCTCTGCTGGAATGTCCTTTCCTTTCTCCTTTTTACCACTGGCCAGTTCAGCTCTTCCTTTAGCTGTCCTGGCCCCAAGTCTGGGTGCCCCCGGTTAGGCGGCCCTCCTCCTCCAGGATCCCTGTGCTTCCCCTGTGCCTCCCATCAGGGCCTGTGGTCAGGCTGGGTTACTGGTTCTTTGCTGGTGGCCTGGTCAGGGCCAGATGGGTGGCTCTAGCACTGTGCTCAGCCAGGAGAGTGCCAGACCCCGCCCCACCCAGCCCCACCTCCTCACCGTGTACCCTCAGGAGCTGGACATGAGCGACTTTGAGGAACAGTTCAAGACCAAGTCCCAAGGCCCCAGCCTGGACCTCAGCACTCTCAAGAGTAAGGCAGCCCAGAAGGCCCCCAGCAAGGCAACACTCATTGAGGCAAACCGGGCCAAGAACTTGGCCATCACCCTGCGGAAGGGCAACCTGGGGGCCGAGCGCATCTGCCAAGCCATTGAGGCGTGAGTGTCCCTGCCCCGGACTTGTGGGCAGTCTGGCCCCTCTGCTAGGCTGGGGTTGTCAGGCAGATCCTAGTACAAGAGCCTCAATGGTGAACTCTTTCATCAAGCTTCATACCAACCTGGTCCAGGAACCTTGTCCCCATTTTAAGGTGGAGAAAACTGAGTCCATGCCTAAATTAGGATGTCCCACTTCCTCCCTGCCTCTTTGCCTAGCTGTGAGTACCCAGGCTATGGGATTTACAGCTGGGCGTCTTCCACTGATGTATGATGGGGACCCCGGCTCTCCGGTTCCCAGTTTCTCTGGATTCCTACCTCTTGCTCTCTGAAGCTGTTGGCAAATAGAAAATACTGAAATTCATTTATTCAATCAAGGCAGGGGTAGCCCTGCTCCCAGGGACTGGTGGGTATGGATGATGCCCACCCTCCCCTCTCCTCCCTCCCACAGGTACGACCTGCAGGCTCTGGGCCTGGACTTCCTGGAGCTGCTGATGCGCTTCCTGCCCACAGAGTATGAGCGCAGCCTCATCGCCCGCTTTGAGCGGGAGCAGCAGCCGATGGAGGAGCTGTCGGAGGAGGACCGCTTCATGCTACACTTCAGCCGCATCCCGCGCCTGCCGGAGCGCATGACCACACTCACCTTCCTGGGCAACTTCCCAGACACAGCCCAGCTGCTCATGCCGGTGTGGGCGGAGCGGGCAGGGCGGTGTGGCTTGGGTGGGGATGGGCAGAAGGCACCTCTCAGCCTGGGCTGCAGCAGGGAATCTGGGAGTACTTGAGCCTCCAGATGGAGGAGGCCCCAACTTATCTTACCTCCCCCATCCTACCCCTAGCAACTGAATGCCATCATTGCAGCCTCAATGTCCATCAAGTCCTCTGACAAACTCCGCCAGATCCTGGAGGTGAGGGGCCAGGAGGTGGGGCCCACCCTTGCCTGTTCTGGATAGTGTGAGGGGGAGACCCAGGCCCTGCCCACCTGCAATGCAACAAAGATAACGTTCCCACTTCTCATGTACATGCTGAGAAGGACAGATCTAAGGGGGGTGGTGAATGGGAAGGGGAACAGCAGCCATGTCTGTAGCAGCTCACCTGGGACCCTGCCGGAGGGCTCAGTCCCCTTTAGCGTTGATCTGTGAGCAATGTCACCTGCTCAGTGGAGGGCCCAGGAACCAGTAGAAATGGCTGGTGGAAAGGCAGTGACCACACAGCCTAGGAGGGGATGCTGGCAACAAGTTTTGGGTTGGACTAGCAGAGGACAAAATTGGGTGTGCCCATGGTGTTAACTCTGCACATGTGTGAGACCTGTGTGTACACACGTACATGCGCTGTGAATCTGAGGGGCCTGTGCAGGAGTACAGTAGGGGCTGAGTGTGTGGGGCCTGCTCCTTGCCACCTCTTCTCCTCCTTGTGCAATATATTTAAGCAGTGTCCTCAGCCCTGGCATTCTGCTGAGCCTTTCCCCTGCCTCTCCTAGATCGTCCTGGCCTTTGGCAACTACATGAACAGTAGCAAGCGTGGCGCAGCTTATGGCTTCAGGCTCCAGAGCCTGGATGCGGTGAGGAGGGGACCCTGGCTTGGGGGCTGGGGCTGGGGACTGGCTGGTGGCCTGTGGCTTACAACAGGTCCTTGTGCAGCTGTTGGAGATGAAGTCGACTGACCGCAAGCAGACGCTGCTGCACTACCTGGTGAAGGTCATTGCTGAGAAGTACCCGCAACTCACAGGCTTCCACAGCGACCTGCACTTCCTGGACAAGGCAGGCTCAGGTAGGGGGTATATAGGTCCTTGGGTGCGGGGAGGGGCCGTGGGCTGGGGTAGGTTGGGAGAAAGCTAGGTGGCCACAGGATATAATTGGTGGGAGGACTGCCTCTCCGATTCACTGACCTGATACTGCCCCATCCCTGGCCCAGTGTCCCTGGACAGTGTCCTGGCAGACGTGCGCTCCCTGCAGCGAGGCCTAGAGTTGACACAGAGGGAGTTTGTGCGGCAGGATGACTGCGTGGTGCTCAAGGAGTTCCTGAGGGCCAACTCGCCCACCATGGACAAGCTGCTAGCAGACAGCAAGACGGCTCAGGTGTGCCAGGGCTGGCCTCACCTGGAGGTGGGGGATGTAGGAGCACTAGGTAGCCCAGCCTGGAGGGGTGTGGCTGTAGCTGGGACCCCTTGGGGGGATGCAGCAGGAACGAGGGGCCACCCTGCCTGGGAGAAGCTGAGATCAGGTGGCCAGTGTCCTGGGGGGCACAGGCTGTGAGAGGTCTAAGCTGGGGGGCTGACAGGCTGTGCCCGCAGGAGGCCTTTGAGTCCGTGGTGGAATACTTCGGAGAGAACCCCAAGACCACATCCCCGGGCCTGTTCTTCTCCCTCTTTAGCCGCTTCGTTAAGGCCTACAAGGTATTCGGGACTGGGGCAGGCTGGGAACCCTGTAGGGCACTGAAGCCTTTCCACTGGGCAGCGGAGGGGTGGGACTGCTTCTGTTTAGGGGGTGGGTAGGGCAGTAGGGAGGGCCACCCTCATGGAGACTGCCTTGGCCCGCAGAAAGCTGAGCAGGAGGTGGAACAGTGGAAAAAAGAAGCCGCTGCCCAGGAGGCAGGCGTTGATACCCTGGGCAAAGGGGAGCCCCCAGCACACAAGGTAGGCCGCTGCTCCTGGGCTTGGTACTGGGCTGCAGGGATGCATGGCATCTCATCACCCTCTGGTGTCACCCCCACACCCTCACTGTTACAGACGGACCCTGCCCCAGGAGCCTGGGATGCGAAAGGGTTCTTTCTGCTCAAGCCAGCTGTCCTTGCTGTGGGGGACCAGGCAGATATTCCAGGGTTTTGGTGGTGGGGAGGCCTCCTGGAGCTGGAGCTATAAATTCCCCCTAGTCACCGCCAAAGGCCCGGCGGGCACAGATGGACCTAATCTCTGAGCTGAAACGGAAGCAGCAGAAGGAGCCACTCATTTATGAGAGCGACCGTGACGGGGCCATTGAAGACATCATCACAGGTAAGGGCTTGGCCAGGCCTTGGTCTTATTCTCAGCCTATCCTTCTATGCTGTCTTCTGACCCAATCCCCTACCCTCTGGGGGACTGGCTGCCACACTGCTTCTCGCTACCTTTTCTGTTTTTCTTTCCTTTTTCCTTTCTCTACTCTCCTTCACCCGCCCCACCCCCACTCAGTGATCAAGACGGTGCCCTTCACGGCCCGTACCGGCAAGCGGACATCCCGGCTCCTCTGTGAGGCCAGCCTGGGAGAAGAGATGCCCCTCTAGCCCCTCAGGTACCCAGATGACCTGGCCTCCGATCCCACGCTGCCCACAGCCCCCGGGACCCTTGGGGGAACTGAGGCATGCTGCCTTCTCCTGGGCCAGTGGATGGCTGGGATGTGATTTGCCGTTGGGGGCGGGGGCGGGTCTGGCATACATAAACGGTACCCCTGCCATGTGCACACAATCTGAGTCCTTAGGAGGCTATGGTTGTGCCCTGGAGCCATGCTCCCAGCTCTGGGCAGACTCCTAAAGGGTAAATGTGTCTCCTTCGGCTGCCAGATCTGCGGAACCAGCCCTACATCCGCGCAGACACAGGCCGCCGCAGTGCCCGCCGGCGTCCCCCAGGCCCCCCACTGCAGGTCACGTCCGACCTCTCGCTGTAGCCGCTATTTCTGCAGGTGGATTCTGCAAGGGTGTGGGGCCGTGGACAGGCTGAGGCTCAAGGAAGGTGGTCCTCAGCTCGGCTGGCCGGGCAGCCCCTCCTCCGCTGTGGCCCGCCTCAAACGGGCTGGTGCATCCTCCTCTTGCCACAGAGGGCAAATGCTGCTTGCAGCACCCACCCCAAAGCCCCCTCCAAATAGCCATACTTAGCCTCAGCAGGAGCCTGGCCTGTAACTTATAAAGTGCACCTCGCCCCCGCAAGCCCCAGCGCCGAGGACCGTCCATGGACCTTATTTTTATACGAGATTAATAAAGATGTTTGCAAAAGATACGCGTTGGCTCAATGCTCGCCGCAGCCTGTTTGGCTCAGCAAACGCTTTACTTGTACAAGCTCTTCATAGCAGGCCTCTGCAAACCAGCGGGCGCCTGGGAGAAAGGCTGCTTCTTTACTAGAGTTGGCGGCGAGGGAGCCCGGTTTGAGGGGACGGAGGCTCTCGTGGCTGGCCCGGGATCCCTGCGGGAGGCCGGAGGGGGCCAGCGCAAGGGCGAGTGGGCAGCTGGGGTCAGACCCGCCCGGCCAGCCCCGCAGCAGTTCTCCTTCCGGCTGCCCCGCCCCATTTGCGCCAGTCCTGCCGCCTACCTGGGCATCTGGTCCCTTTTCCTTTCGCCTTACCCAGTGCGTAGTGACGCCATGAGTGACCTCGCGTTACATCTCCGCGTGTGCCGCCTCCGTCTCCCCCTGCCGGGGCCCCATTTCTTCCGGGCCTGCCCACGCTCCTCGCCTGCCTCTCCCCTCCGCCAGCCGGTATTGCCCCATCTGTCTGTCCCGCCTCCGCGCACCTGTCCCGCCCCTCACTGCGTATCCCTCCCCCGCCCGCCGGCTCTCACCTAGGCCGAGCCACGCCCCGGGTTGGGCGGGAACTTGGGGCTGCAGGGCTAGTAGGGCTGGCTCAGGCGGAAGCCGGGGCCCGCGGCTGGGCTTCGTGTCCTGCGTTCCGGGAGCGCCGACTCCTCCAGGTTAGGAATCTGAGAGTAGGGGTTGCGCGCACCTAGGGTGGGTGCCCGGGAGGAGGTAGAGGAGGAGACGGTTCTCAGAGCGGGTCCTGGGGGTAGGAGGCGAGGGCGGGGGTTGTGAGTGGCTGGGAGAGGTCCCTCCCGCAGGTACCCGCGCACCCCGCCCCGTAGTAGGGGCCTCACCTACTTCGTGCAGTCTGTGCAGCGAGCGCGCCAGCTCCTAGTTGGAGAGGCTGCTGATGCGCGCCGCGTGGCAGAAGGTGAGGCCCGCGTGGAGCGCCCCCCAACCCCCGCAGCCTGGGCTGAGCCCCAGAGCCCACTGCTTCTTGAAGTAGTAGCTTGGAGAAGAGAGGCGGGGAGGCCGCCTCAGACACCCCCAGCCCCAGCCCTCTCTGTCTCACAGGTGCGGAAGCCAAAGCAGGACCGGGAGCCACTGCTTTGTCCTGGGGCGACTTGGGGCCCAGGAAACAGACCCAGAATTCAAGGCTCCCGTCTCTAGGGCAGGAACATCAGGGGTCCCGTGGAGCTGATATGGTTGTGCCCACCTCATCACCTCCTGTGCCAACTTGGAGGGCACAAAGCCCCGGCCCAGCAGCTTGAATAGCATTTCCAAGAACAGGGTCTGCAGTCCCTGGGGGTCACAGACCTGGCTGTTCGTCACCGGCTTGGGACAAAAAAGGTGAAGGAGCGTGAGGAGGGGGCTCCCCCTAGGCCAGGCCCACCCCTCCTCCACCAGCCTTGTCCCTCACCCATGCACTGAGCCAAGCGGTGGTTGTCATTGAAGACACCCAGGAAGTCACTGAAGCTTACGATTCCAACACCTGGGGAGAGAGGAGAGGGGGCGCTGTGGGTGCCTGCCCCTGCAGAAGGCCTGCCTTACAGATGCCTGCTGGCAGTTCCAGGTGTTAGAGAATCTAGTCCTGCCTCTAGCCAAGGGCAGACCCTAGTTTGAATGGGGGAGAAATGACCCGTGCCTTGGGGGTTCCCAAATCAGGATTAGGATTAACACAGTAGCAACGTTTACAGGCCATGAGATAGGTGTGTTGGTCAGGGCAGGCTTCCTGTAAGAGGGAACTTTAAAATAGGACCAGGCTAGGATTTTGTGGGAAGGGGAGGTAGTCTTTAGAAGGATGCCTGGAGGTGGGAGGGGACAAGAGGACAGGGATGGGGCACCCACCATCCAAGTCCACCTGCGGCAGAGCCTCGAATGTCTCCTGTGGACTCAGTTGGATACCCACATTGCCTAGGGCGCCTTTCATGCTGTGCATGTCCACGGTACCCGTTGGGCTGGAGCTGAAGAGTTTGAAGATATCCTGGAAGGCTGAGGGTAGAGGGGGACAGGTGGCAAGATAAACCACCCACACAGGAACCCTGAGAGCTGCCCACTCTAACTCAGGTGGAACTGATGACTTGGCTCATTCTAACTCCCTCCTGGGTGTTTTAAATTTTTATTTATTTATTTATTTCTGAGACAGAGTCTCACTCTTTGCCCAGGCTGGAGTGCAGTGGTGAGATCTCGGCTCACTGCAACCTCAACTTCCCAAGGCTCAAACGATCCTCTCACCTCAGCCTCCTGAGTAGGTGGCATCACAGGTACGTGCCACCACACCTGGCTAATTGTTTAATTTGTTGTAGAGATGGGGTTTCACCGTGTTGCTCAGGCTGGTCTCGAAGTCCTGGGCTCAAGTAACCCTCCCGCCTTGGCCTCCCAAACTGTTGGGATTACAGACATCAACCTCCACACCTGGCCTGTAACTTTTAATATAAAGAGTAGCAGTGGCTGTTGTGTGTTGGTACATGTTATGTGCCCATCCAGTCCTTATGTCCAAAACTCGTATTTGAAAAACATTCAAAATTCATGTCCAAGGTCACATCTAGCAGTCTGGCTCTGAAGCTACAGTGCCTTGGAGCCCTGCTGGTGCCTGGCATGTCGTAGGCACTGAACATTGTTGATGATCAATAAAGTGATTCTGCTTTGAGGGGCCCTTGCCAATATCAGGACATGTTGTTTGGGGGAGCATGGGGCTGTGGTTTCTTTTGCCTTTACCCTTATGGTCCTAGGCCCCATGAGGCAGGGGAACTCAGATTTTTCCCCTCATTTTTTCTCCTCCTTTACCTTCTCCCTTCTTTTCCATCCTGTTCATCATCTATCTATCCATCCATCTAAATACCTGCATTCACCTATATACCAATCCATTGAGTTTTCTTTTCCTTTCCTCCCTCCTTCACACACACATGCATACACACACACACACACACACACACACTCTGTGAGCTCTAGGGTTGTAGAGATGAGCAAATCAGACAAGCATGGAGGGATGGTTGCAAACACTGCTTCTTGCAGTGACCCCAGCTTCAGGGCAGGCAATCCCTTGTAGTTCTTCCCTGAGCACCGCCTAATTTTCTTCCTTACTCCCAGTCCTGGGGCCCTCACCTGCCAGCTGCTGGGGTGTCTCACCTGTCAAGCTGCCCCAGGAGATAGAAAGAGGTTGGAAAGGTCTTTGCACCTGTTGCATAGAAATGCCAGGGCCAGCCAGGCCTTACCCCAAACCCAGCCCCCAAGGCCTGGCCCCTGGTGCCTGCCTTCACCTCTCAGACCCAGCATCTGGACCTGACTCTGCTGGATGGGCAGCCACAAGGCCCTGGATTTCTGTTGCCCTCCTCATGGTGTGTTCAGCCTTTGTGGCCATGGCTAGTGCTAGCTCCGTCTGGGTCAGCCGGGCAGTGTGCAGCTGCAGCCTCCCTTTCTGCATCCTGCCTGCCTGCTCCTCTGCTGGATCTCATATGAGCAGCCTTTGAGGCTGCTGTGGAGGCCTTAGAGGCAGGAAGGAGAGAGGCAGAGGGGTCCAGCCCACTCAGGTACTCAGACTCCTGAGTAGGTACTCAGACCTGGGACCAGGCCTGTGGGTATACGGTTCCACCTCCTCCCAGGATCCTCCACATGAAACTGTACCACAGCCCTCTATGCAGGGGATTCTGGGGAAAGGGCTAGGGCAGTGATTCCCCCCACCCTGGGTGAGGGAAAAGGACCCTCCTCCAGACCTGGTCACCTGTTTGTTCTCAGTGATGACTCGATCTCTTGGTCTTCTGCCCTCTGCAAATTACTCCTAAAACTCAACAGTGAGGCCAGGCATGGTGCTCAGGACTGTAATCCCGGCACTTTGGATGGCCGAGGAGGGAGGATTGCTTGAGCCTAGAAGTTCAAGGCTGCAGTGAGCCGTGATGGCACCATTGTACTCCAGCCTGGGTGATGGAGAGAGAACTTGTCTCAAAAACCAAAAAAACAAAACCCCTCAACAGTAAGAAAATGAACAGCCCGATTTTTTTTTTTAAAAAAAGGGCAAAAGTCAAGTGTGGTGGCTTACATCTTGAATCCCAGCACTTTGGGAAGCTGAGGTGGAAGGATCACTTGAGGCCAGGAGTTTGAAATCAGCCTGGGCAACACAGCAAGATCCCATCTCTACAAAAAATAAAAAGCTTAGCCAGGCATGGTGGTGCACACCTTTAATCCCAGCTTTTTGGGAACCTGAGATGGGAGGATCACTTGAGCCCAGGAGTTCAAGGCTGCAATTAGCCATGATCGAGCCACTGCACTCTGCCTGGGTGACAGAATGAGGCCTTGTCAAAAAAAAAAAAAAAACTTTTATATGATCAAGTTGTCTATAATTAAAAGGAAATTATAGTGATCTTTCTAGAGATTGGGCTTATTTTAGAGCAACATTTCCACTCTCCACCCGGCTGAAAAAAAAAAAAAAAAACAAAAAAAAAAAAAAAAAAAAAAAAAAAATCTAAACAGGCACCTCGCCAAAGGATACATACAAATGAAAGTAAGCATATGAAAAAATGTTCAACATCATATGTTATCAGCAAATTGCAAATTAAAACAATGAGATACTATTATGTACCTATTCAGATACCAAAATCCAAAACACTACCACCACCAAATGCTGGTGAGGATGTGGAACAATAGGAACTGATTAATTGCTGGTGGGAATGCAAAATGGTGCAGCCAATCTGGAAGACAAGTTTGGCAGTTTCTTACAAAATGAAACACACCCTTATCACATGATCCAGCAATTGTGCTCCTTGGTATTTATCCAAATGTTTTGAAAACTCATATCCACACAAAAACCTGCACATGGATGTTTATGGCAGCTGTATTCATAATTGCCAAAACCTGGCAACAACCCAGATGTCCTTCAGTAGGTGAATGGATAAATAAACAGTCATACACCCAGACAATGGAATAGTATTCACCACTAAAAATAAATGAGCTATCAAGCCAGGAAAAGACATGGAGGAACCTTAAACGTGTATTACCAGGTGAAAGAAGCCAACCCAAACAAACTGCATACCGTTTGATTCCAAATCATTCTGGAAAAGGCAAAACTGTGGCAATAGTAAAAGGACCAGTTGTTGACAGGAGTTGAAGGGGCCAGGTAGAGCACAGAACTTTTAGGGCAATGAAACGACTCTGTATCACACTACAATCAAAACCCATAGAACGGGCCTGGCGCGGTGGCTCACATCTGTAATCCCAGCACTTTGGGAGGCTGAGGTGGGTGGATCACCTAGAGTCAGGAGTTCAAGACCAGCCTGGCCAACATGGTAAAACCCTGTCTCTACAAAAATACAAAAATTAGATGGGCATGGTGGCGGGTGCCTGTAGTCCCAGCTACTTGGAAGGCTGAGGCAGGAGAATCGCTTAAACCCAGGAGGTGAACAGAGGTTGCAGTGAGCTGAGATCACACTATTGCACTCCAGCCTGGGTGACAGGGCACGACTCCGTCTCAAAAACAACAAACCCCCATAGAATGTAGAACACCAATAGTGAACCCCAATGTGAACTGTGGACTTTTGGTGATGATGATGAGTCAGTGTAGGTTTATCAGTTGTAACAAATGTACCACTGCAGGATGTCCAGAACCAGGGAGGTTGTATGTGGGTGGGGACAGGGGTACATGGGAACTCTCTGTACTTTCCACTCAGTTTTGCTGCAAACCTAAAACTGCTCTAAAAAATAAAGTCTATTAATTTAAAAAAACCTATGGAAAGATTAGTCCTGAGAGCCCAGTGATTCTGGCTCAGTCCCCCACCGCCCCCAAGATACCCACCTCTGCAGCTACTCCTTGTCCCTCCTTCCAGTCTCTCGCCCGCTTCTCTTCCTGGCCCTGACCCATTCTGAACTGCTCACCCCTTCCTAATCACACCCTCCAGGCCCTAGGCATCTCTCTCCTTGGACCCTCCGAAAGCTGGGCAGGCTCTTGAAGATCCACAAGGCTGGGCTTTCACTTAGCAGGGAACCTGAGGCCGGGCCATGGCGCAGCCTCCCCTTCTCCTTCCCCGAGGCTTCCCTGTCCACATCCCTGTCCATCCATGCACTCCGAATCCCCTTCCTTCCTTTGCTGCCATCTCAACTCTGCCAGGAGTCAGTCTATACTGCTTGCCCTCTCGGCCTCCAAGGCCAAACCCTGGGTGGGAGGCGTGTGCATTTGTGTGCATTTTTTTTTCTTCTTCTTTGAGATGGAGTCTCGCTCTGTTGGGCAGGCTGGAGTGCAGTGGTGCAATCTCAGCTCACTGCAACCTCTGCCTCCCGGACTCGAGAGATCCTCCTGCCTCAGCCTCCCCAGTAGCTGGGACTATAGGCGCATGTCACCACGCCCAGCTAATTTTTGTATTTTTAGTAGAGATGGAGTTTCACTGTGTTAGCCAGACTGGTCTCGCACTCCTGACCTCAAGTGATCTGCTGGCTTCTGCCTCCCAAAGTGCTGGAATTACAGGCATGAGACACCACACCCGGCCTTGTGTGCATATTTGGTACATGTGACTGTCAGGCACATGTGTACATGGGCATGGGTGTCGTATGCTGCTTCCTCTGTGTGTGGGTGCTGTATGTGTGATGTGCTGGGCAGCTGGTGATGTCTGTGTGCACACGTCTGGGTGATGTATGGCTCTCTCCTGCATTTCAAGGTACTTCTAGCTCCGGCCTGTTACCCGTGGAGGACCAGTCCTTCGGCCTCATTTTCCTCCCCTTCAAACTCCTGGATACCATCCCTTCCCCATGCCAGGCCTTCCCCATGAAGAGTGCAGGAAGATACCCCTCAGACCCACTTTCTCACCTGCCCAGTCCATGCCCAGGAGGCCATCTCCTCAGATGATCCCAACACTTCCCTGGCCTCAGGCCAAGAGGAAGCCTCATTTCACAGTCTAAGAAATGGAAGCCTCAGAGGACACCGAGGCCTCCCCAAGACCAGCCACAAGTCTTTCTGCTGGCCTAGAGGGCTGGCCAGGAGGGAGTGAAGGGAACTGACCCTGGGGAGTGGACAGGTGAGAGATGGGTGGCCAGGACAAGGGTGGCGTTGCCCTCTGGGGGCAGGTGGAGCTGGGGCAGCTAAAAAATGGGGTGGCAGACCAGGACACAGCAGCCAGGTGAGCTCCCTGGCCCAGGGGCATTTGCACAAAAGTCTGAGCCGACGGCCAGTACTGGAGGCTTTATTGGTTCTGTCTAGTCATTTCTCTGGGGTTGTGGGGGCTGACAGCTTAAAATGGATTTTCACCAATAACGGATTCTGTTTCTCTTTTCCTGGTGGCACTGAGCTGCAACACAAAAGAGAGAGTGTCACTTGGGCCCCAGAGGGTGGTCGAAGAAGAGGGTTGAGCCCAGAGGCCCCTCTGAAGAGGTCACTGGGGGTAAGGGGTCTTCTGCTGCTGCCTGTGTCTGGGCAGCTAAGGTTACGTTCTGTTTCCATTCACCACCAGAAAGCAAGGTGTACTGGAGTGCCCTGCATCCTCATTCTCCCCTCAAGAAAAGTGTCCTGGACTCCAGGGTTGGGGCCAACCTGTTCTCAACAGGGCAGACCCCAGCCTGAGCATTTCTGACCTCGGTGAGGCCCAACCCCCAGGGTGGGAAGCCACCTAATGCCAGCGTGGTCCTTCCCAGTTTGAACCCAGGCCCCTGTGCCCACCCTCCTTGGTCCCCAGGCTTCCTCCAGCCCTTGCCTTGGCTCTGCACCTCAGTCCACTGGAACCTTGTTCCAACAGCCTTTATGAGGTCACTGAGGTGGAGGCGTCACAGCCCACCGCATCCTGCTCCCAGGTCCTCATTCCAGTGTTCCCCACCCCTAGCCGGCTGTGTGAGGACCCCCCTATGTTCTAGCACAGCCCCTCTATGGGAGCTGTGGGGCTGGCCTCACTCACTCTTCCTTGCCTCCCTGCAGCACAGGGGACGTGGCTGGTGGCTGGAGAAGCTGCATTTGCCCTTCGATGGTGGCCCTCTTGATCCCTGGCTTGCTGAAGTCAAAGTAAGATTGAGTGAAGTTCTTGTCTTCCTGACTCCAAGATTTCAGGGGTGCCCTGGCTTCACGTGGTTTCTCTGGTAGGGCCTCTGCGTGCTTTTCTGGCTTTTGCTCCTCCGCAGTGATCAGGAGGGGCTCTGTGGAAGGCTCCAGAGCCTCCTGAGGTGGAGCTTTTATCATGTGTTCCAAACTGGGCATGTCCGTCCTGCTGGAGGAGGCCATGGCCAGGGAAGATGCAAAGGTGATTAGCTCTGCCAGGCCAATGGGTGGCGGGAGATCTGAGGACAGGAGGGGGCTTGGCTCCTGGAAGCTTGTGGCCGGAGGAGCTGAGCAGGCATCGGGGCTCTGGAGCTGCTCCTTGGAGCACAGGGCGTCAGTGGGGATGGCCTCCCGGAGCCGGGAACTGATGGGCTGGCCTGCGCTGCCATTGTTGAGCTGCATGTTGATGGCCTGCTGCAGGCTGTGCTCTGAGGCCTGGATGAGCTTGTTTGCCCAGAAGAGGTGCTTGGAGGTCTGTGCACTGATGGAGTGACGGCAGGCGGACACGTGGTTCTCCTCCGTGAAACTCTCGTAGTTTGAATTCAGACTCCATGGTCTGAAGGTCTGCGGTGTGGGCGGCGCCATGTTGGAGTGGACGGACTCTATCTGGCACACCAGCTGCAGGGGCTCTTCGAGGTCAGACTCCTCGTTCCAGCTGGCTTTTGTGTCCAGCTCAGTTTCAAGCTTGAGGGCTGGGTACAGCTCTGACTCCAGTAAAGCCGGCACCTGTCCGATCTCCAGTTCTGGGTCTGGGTCTGGAGCCAGGTCCACTTTGAGTTGGGGCTTCTGCTCTGGCATGTCTGCCTCCCGCTGAAATGTTTCAACTCAAAGCTGAGGAGGCAGGAGCGGGAGGTCCTGCCCCTGAGGCCCTCCCTGGCACCGAGTCCCTGCCCCACCCCTGCCCCGGGTCCTGCTCTCTTCCCCCCGCCCCCCAACCCCATGCCTGTCTCCTCTCAGAGACCTGCCTGGTGAGGGGGTGTGTGTGTGAGTGTACCCACACTGGCCTGGTACTAGGGTCCCAGGATTGTCAAGGGTAGGGGCTGATGGAGACTTAGGGAAGAGCCCTGCCACTTGCCTGCCACCTCCCCATAAGAGGACACCCCCTTTTTACCTCCTGTTCCTCTTGTATCTGGTGTTGACTTAAGTCATCTCTAAGACAGAAGGAGACAGAGTGGGTGATGGGGATCTGTGGGGTGGGTGGTGGCTTCAGCGGGAAGGGGGTTTCTGGGGCCCTCAAAGCCCTCTGCCTTGTAACAGAGGCTGGCAAGATGCACCTCCCCCCGACCACCCCGCCACCAGCTGATCCCCTCCCCTGGCTGTCCCACTCCACTGCCACCAGGAAGCCTGGAGTTGTATTCTGAAACCTGAGTGAGTTTAGGAAACTCCTTGCCAACTTATGCCCCCCCACCCCGCAAAAGAGGAATCCAGTTGGTTGGAGGTAAGGCCCAGGAATCTCATTTTTATCAAGCATTGCAGGTGAGCTGGGACAACTCACGTCGCGAATTAGTGCCCAGAACACTAGTCCCCAGCAGGGGAGCCCCAGAGCAATGTCCTCCCACCCACCTGCCCACTCTTTCTTCAAGTGCCTGCCCACCCCCGCCTTGAGCAGCTCTGTCCTCAGGAAGCCAGGCAGCTCTGAGGGGTCAGCTCCTATTCTGTCCCTGGGTGTGCCTCACCACCCCTCAGTCTTCCTCTGCCAGGGGCTGAGGGCATAAACAGAAGTGGGAGGGTAGATACCCCACGCCCTCCCCAGTCTTTTGGCCTGGACACGGCACCAGGGAGGTTTTGAAAATGGCAGAAGGGAGGAAGATCCTAGGTTGGGGGATTGGTGGTGTCAGGGGCGAGGCTGGAGGTCCCGGAGGGCTCGGGGGAGGCCTGTGATGATCGGGGATGGTTCTCACCGCATCTCTGCAACCTCCACTGACCCTTTGCTGCAGCATGGAAATCCATGGGTACCTGGCAGGGGAAAGGAGGTGAGGGCAGGGAGCTGCAGGGTAGAGGACAGTCCCGGAGGGATTCCAGAGCCAGCCACCTCCTCCTGCCCTTCTTTTTCTCTGTTCCCAGCTGCATTCCCTCACCCACCTGCCCCGCCCTCCTTGTTCCCTAGCCGGTAGCCATTCCTATCCTCCAGTCCTGCTCCCTCCACTGTCTGTGCCTTGCCTCCTCGGAGGCTCCCTGTTCCATCTCCTTCCCCCAAAACTGTGACTGCTAACAGTACCCCGACCATGACGGGGCACTTCCATAGCCTGGGCACTTTACCTGCTTTATCTCATGGATTCAACACAAAAAATTAGGACAGGTCCATTTGCCCAAGGCCCCCCAGCTGATCATAGCTGAAGTGGTGACTTGAATGCGGTTTTGACTCAGGAAACTCTTAACTCCCTGGCCCCCGGCTACTCCCAGGAGCCTGTAACTGCATGGAGTCCCCATCACGCCCCACGCGAACCTTCCCCATCTCCCCATTCCTGCTCTTCTGCTGGCTTCCTTTACTCTCTCTGGATCATCCATCACTGACTCCAGGCCAAGTCCTCCACCCGGGGTGTGTGATCTGAGGTGGTGCTAGCACCTAGCCGACGATTTAGGAGCTCAGATCCCCCTCTGCAGGAGAGACTGACTCCTTGGGAACGTCCCCAACCCCACACCCTTCCCTGGAAGCTTGTATCTTTTACTGCAGAATGTTTCTTCACCCTGTGGGGGTGGGAAGCACCAGGCTGCCCTGTTCTCTGCTACCCAGGACCATGCGTAGGGGTTGATGGTGGGGCCATAATGACGACCCTGCCATCATGCAAGGTGGGTCCCCATCAGCCTGGGGTGTGGCAGGAAGTGACAGCCCTGGCTCTGACTGGGAAGAATCGCTCCCAGGAAGCGACTGAAAGGATGAGAATCTACTGCAGTCTATTCCTAGAGATGTAGCGGCTGGAGGGAGGGGTCCTTGCATGGCTGGTCCTGGGATTGGGACCATCTGCTTTAGCCTGGTCTTGGGGGATGTATCCCCCAACCCTCCACCTCCTTGATCACTACGCTTCCCTGGCTTCCTCACGTGTCTCTCTTCTCCCTCTCCAACTCCCCCTGCCCCAGGTCCTGCTGTTCGCCAGGCTTCTGACCTCAGGGCCTTTGCTCCCTTTACAAAATTTCACTGGGCAGTTTAATCAACACCCACAGCCTCAACCCCTCCATAAATGGCAGCTGGGTATGGACAGGAGAAGAAATTACTGTTGTGTGAGCCTCTTAATAGCACTGGGGCTGGGAGAAAAAGTCAGATGTTGACTCAGCTTGAGATCTCTGTGCCTGACTTGAGAATGTTCTATTCGGGATTCAAATAATATTCTGCAGTATATGAAATAATTGAAAAAAATTTTTTTTTTTTGAGACGGGAGTCTCACTCTGACCCCCAGGCTGGAGTGCAGTGGCGCGATCTCGGCTCACTGCAAGCTCCGCCTCCTGGGTTCACGCCATTCTCCCGCCTCAGCCTCCAGAGTAGCTGGGGCTGCAGGCGCCCGCCACAACGCCCGGCTAATTTTTTTTTTGTATTTTTAGTAGAGATGGGGTTTCACCGTGTTAGCCAGGATGGTCTCGATCTCCTGACCTCGTGATCTGCCTGTCTCCGCCTCCCAAAGTGCTGGGATTACAGGCTTGAGCCACCGTGCCTGGCCCCGGCTCACTCTTTGTATTTTTATTAGAGATGGGGTTTCACCATTTTGGCCAGGCGGTCTCAAACTCCTGGCCTCAAATGATCTGCCTGCCTCGGCCTCCTAAAGTGCTGGGATTACAGGCATGAGCCACTGTGCCTGGCCAAAAGAATTTCTATTTCCAGTGGTTTGTTGCTAGCACACAGAAATAGATCCATCTTTTGTATCCTGGAGCCATACTAAAATCTCATGTGTTCTCATAGCTTTTTTTTTTTCCTTTTAGATTCTATCGGATTTTCTACATAGACAATAATGTGTGTGAGTCAGGACACTTTTACTTCTTCCTTTCCAATCTTGTTCCTCTTATTTCCTTTTCTTGCCTAATTGCACTGGGGACAATCTCCATACAATGTTGAGTAGGAGTGTGTGTGTACGTCCTCCCTTCGTTCTGAGCTTAGGGGAAAGTGTTTAGCCTTTCACCATTAAGGCTGATGCTAGCTGTAGGTTTCTTCATGATGCCTTTTATTAGCTTGGGCATCTTCATGAAGTTTCCTCTCCTAGTTTGCTTAGTTTTAATTAGGAATGGATGCTGGATTTTGCCTAATGCTTTTTCTGCATTTATTGGGAATTTTGCCTATTGCTTTTTCTGCATTTATTGAGATGATCATATGGTTTTTCTTTAATATTATATATGTATACATAACATACATTATAATTAACATATGAGTAATGTTATATTATTTGGGTGATAATTCTTTTATATTTTTATATTCTGCTTATGGTAAAATACATTGGTTTTTTTTTTTTTTTTTTTTTT